CCAACACCAGTGGTCAGGCCGAGTGACTTGGTTGACCACTCAGTCATGATAGCTTAAATAGAGCCATAACAAATCATGGACTCTTTAACGTCTTTAGTGTAGAGAATCCAGCTTTGTTGAGCACAGCTAGTCTGTTATTACTGTGGATTCAATGTCCTGGTAACCATGACATGACACTTACTATGTAAGTAAACTGGGTGTTCTTGACCCTGTTGTGAGGGGTATACAAGCAATCCCCACCATAGGCTAACCCCTTTAGTTCGTGTCATAACAACAGTGTCCATTGTCACCCAATATCGCTGCTACAACTTGTGCCACACTTCCAGCCTGTCACAATCAACAAAATAATAATCAAGAATCCTGTCCATCTACATCTAATTCCGAACCCTGCTCCCAGCAAGAGATGGTCATGTGTACTGTCTACTTGCCTTCGGAGCAGAATGTGAAAATAACTTGTTAACAAATCAATCCGACCCCAAACCTTTGGGCATCCAGTAGCATTGTGTAATTTTTGGCCAGTATTTCAGCCGCATCCACGACATATTGCAGGTTTATGTGAGAAAAAAAAATGACTGGTCAATGTTTCAACTTTGGTGAAGCCTATCACTGAAATTAAGGTGTGGACAAACCAAGGATTATAATCATGCCTAATCTGGGAATATAACCTTGATCACAGGTTTCTGGCTGCACTGGGAAAGAACCTGCAGCGCCTTAGACCACCACAAGGCCACCACGGGGCCACCCTTAGCAAGTTATGCCAACATATTCCCTCTCTTTCCGAAAACATGAAATGTTCAGTTTCATAAAGTTACATGTCAGACTAAAGGCATGAATGAGTATGGTCTTTGGCCATGTAGCCACAGAGTGCCAGGAAACAATGAGAACTGGGCCACAAATTTAATGATTCAAACTCGCAACAACAATTTGACAACTAAAGTCCGTTTGGCTCAAAAGCGGACCGATGAATTGCAATCTAACTCGAAAACTAATAAACATAACATACTCAATGAAACGCTGATCATAATCAAAACATCATACCCACTCTGTGAGGTTTTTGCAGAATTTTTGTCCTAAAATAATAATGTTGTTTAACAAACTATCATTAAAATATTGACACAGTTCACTGTTTGTTACGAGGGAGGAGTGCAGAGAAAGGGACAACCAGGTGTTCGAGAAGCACGTTCACAGACAGTTATTTATTCATTAACCTGTGCTGTGCCATCTCCATCCGTTCTCGAACACCTGGCTGTCCCTTTCTCTGCACTCCTCCCTCATAACAATTAGTTTTCGAGTTAGAGTCCACTCCCATTTCCTTGTTATTGATAGCACTAAGGTTGCTCTGTAGAACGGATTCCTGGAATCAGAACAGACACCCGGCATCTCATCTTGTTTGAAGATACCTAACTAATGTGAGAAATAGGACGAGACTGACTTGTGCAACGCTCACTTTGAAGGTAATCTTCAGGGCAAGGGAGTTAACTGAGTGTAAATGTCTGTTTTACATCCTTGTCGAACTTGGCTGGAATTTGTGAGTCCATGCAGACTCCAGTCAATATTTTGTAACAAACTTGACATCTGGTTCCAAAACAACATTACAATTGTCAGATTGTGGGCACCACCTACTGGATGGTAGAGATTTTCAAAATCTTTCATATAATTAATCCAGGCATCTACATTATTTGATGCACATAACCGATGAAAATCCATTATATTACATAGAGGTCTCGATTATAGATCTGTTTGTCTTGATTTTGATTAAAGCAAATGCAAGTGAGGATATGAAAGCAGGAACCTGATTGGCCAATAGGAGGGCTGACTGACTGACTGAGTTTGGTTTTACGCCGCTTTTAGCAATATTCCAGCAACATCACGGCGGGGGGACACCAGAAATGGGCTTCACACATTGTGCCCATGTGGGGATTCGAACCCGGGTCTTCGGTGTGACGAGCCAACGCTTTAACCATTAGGCTACCCCACCATCCCACCAATAGGAGGGACACAATATGGACATAAGAAGTAATAACCACTGGGGGGAGATAACATCAGACCACAAAATTCCAGCCTGGCCTAGCAATGGTGTTAACTGGACCTGTGTATCCAGTTACCTCCCTTGCCAATGGAGTGAATGGTGGGACAGAGCAAATAACACAAGACCATTTTTTTCTCGTCTTTGGCTGTAATTGGCAGTGTGGAAGAGAATAGAACAAGAATCCCTGACGAATAAAAACATGTCAGCTCGCATACTACAAATCGGTGGGGCCAAACTGGTTGGTTGAATAAAGCAAAATAAACCAACATTAACAAATTCACAAACCAGAACCGTTCTCGAATTGGAGCCATTTTCAGTCATGGGAAAAACTGAAGTGATTGATAAGTTGTTCAATTAACTTATTTAACCCTTCTGCTGATGGCAAGAGACAAATTGCAGAAGTTACTTCCCTTCCACTGAGAAATAAGTCAATATTTTAGAGAAGATGCCTATTATCTACAAGGAAAATAATTAACATCAGGGAAAAGTCAGTTGCGAAGATCTGTAACAAAAATGATTGATCTGGTTCTCATTAGGTGATGTTCCCACCAGTGAGACAGACCAGTTATGTTTCTGTTCGTGATACGGTCAATGTTTTCAGTTCATACATGAGTAATATTTTCTGTATATTTATATACATATGTACAAGAGACCAACATTTATCATATAAATATTGTACTTCTTCAGCTAATGATGGCTATATGGAAGAGATATTCACCAAAACACTTTTCAACATGCAAACCTCCCATAAATTTCAGGTCAATGTGAAAAAAAAGAAAAAAGGTCTTCAAGATTGTTTGCTTAACATTTGACTACGTTATTCCATTCACTGCTACCTGGTAGTACACTGAGGTAACTCTAAAGGTACTTTGTGCAATGGGAAAATTAATAAATTTCTTTGGTAAATGAAATCAATTAATATATTCTTCCTCCATCACAAATTTCAACTTCTACATTCTTTTGCTCAAATAAATAATTTTTTTTAGTAAATTGGATTTATTAAATTTTAAAAAGAAATTCCAATGTTCTTTTGCAAATTTAATTATCTTACCCAACATCTAGATTATTAACACTATATTCCTTCATACAATGAACTTGTTCCAGCATTCTTCAAACACACATCTCACATTATCAAATGGCACTGTCATGATTGGAACTTAACACTAAATATATCATATTGAACATTCTGGTTGATAAGTGTTTGTTCTGAGGCCATTATTCCAACGGGCATTTGCTAAATATAAAAGTACTTGTGATCACATCCTTTCTGATATTATGGTCTTTTAGAACTGACTGACTGAGTTTGGTTTCATGCCGCTTTTTAGCAATGTTCCAGCAATATCACAGCGGGGGACACCAGAAATGGGCTTCACACATTGTATCCATGTGGGGATTCGAACCCGGGTCTTCGGAGTGATGAGCCAACGCTTTAACCACAAGGCTACCGCACCGCCCGGTCTTTTGAGAAGCAGTAAAAACTACAACCTTAATATTTGAACATTTAAAGTGCACTAGGGGTTACTCAAAACAGGTGTCATGATATTTCAAAAGATGATAAATAAATAAATACAGTCGAGCACCGTTCTGGATATTAATGGGACCAAGACAAAATATTGAGTTAACCAAACTTTGAGACATCCGACAAGTTACAGTGTCCATCTTGAATGATACAAGATTTAGAAACAACTCAACAATCACATGTTAGTGATTACACAAAACCCTCATGGGATTCTCAACTTCAACTTGAAGTATGTTCTGATTCTATAATCTGTTATCAGTAGTGTTTAGTTGTAACAGTGAGTACTTCCTCATTAATTCCTTCGTAATTAATCCTAATTAAATAACAAACAAGTGACATCTTCAACTCAATTAGCCCTAATTAGTTTACACTACCGCATTCCTTTAATTCATGCCTGCCATGTGTAAACGTGTGTAAACAACCTCAGTTCAGAGGGATACTTGCTCATAAAAGGTAGGTGAATATAGAGTTCTTTGCAAATATCGAGTTAAAAGGGGGTAATTTTGCTTGTTGGGACCATAAAATTATATCGAGATATCCGAAATATTGATACATCCGTATCGAGTTAAAAGAGCTTGAATAATGATAAATTACGAAGGATTTTGCCGGGACCGAGATGTTATATCGATACAACCGAGCTATCCAGTTATCAGAGTTCGACCCCCACATGGGTAAAATGTGTGAAGCCCATTTCTGGTGTCCCCCGCCGTTATGTTGCTGGAATATTGCTAAAAGCGGCGTAAAACCAAACTCAGTCAGTCAGTCAGAGTTCACTGACACAACGGTGCTCGACTGTAATAGTGAAAAAAATAGCACAAACATTATTAAAAATTTCTTCTTTGAAAAATGGTTTGTCGTTTACTCTCAAGATTGAGTGAGGCAGTGGGTTTTACGCTGCCTTTAGCAATATTCCAGCAATATTCCAGCAGGGGACAACAGAAATGGGCTTCACACATTGTACCGACGTGGGGAATCGAACCCGGGTCTTCGGTGTAGAAAGGTCAGCAGAAGTTAGCACGATAGACTATTACACTTCCAAACAAACCTGTCTTTATTACAATAAGCGAACACCTGCTCCACTGGGCTAGCCTACCTCCCTAGCTACATCCATAACTCTTAAGAAAAGCAGCACTACTCACTACTACAAAAATCCCATCGCCCGGGACAAGTCAGTTTTCATTTCGGGCAATCAAATAATGGTATCTTACTTGTCCGTGGGCTACTAGATAATTTCCACTTATGGTTTCAAACCGCAAATAAACTTGGATTTAATTTCATATCTGCTCAAAATTTAGCTATAAAATTTTGCAATGACAATAAAGTAGAGTTATCTTTCTTTGCTATTTATCACTTTTCAATAAATAGTCCAGTAAACATTAACATCAAATACCATGTTGATTTCTTCTTTCATAATTACATCATCATAATTATGTCATAAAATCAGGGCAAGTGGAAAATTAGTCAGGACAAGTTACTTTCTTAAAGTGGCAAGTGGCTTTTAATTTTTTTTTGAACCCCTGCACTATGGCAAACTGCCCAGCTTTGCCCCTTCTTTAACCTGTGAAGATCTGGGTCAGTATTGGTGTTGGTCTCGCTGACTTGTCATCGTATTCCAGTTGCATGACTGATGCTCATGCTATTGATCACTGGATTGTCTGGTCCAGACTCGATTACTTACAGACAACCGCTGGAATAACTGGAATATTGCTGAGTGAGGCGTAAAACAACCAAACTAAACCAAACCTATTTACATTCACGCCTGAGTAGTTGAAACACGAGTTTACTTCCCAAAATATGTAAACTTATTATCCTGGGTGGACACAAACTTTCATCATTCATATGGCGGCAGTCTGTACATAATCTTTTCTGGACCAGACAATCCAGTGATCAACAGCAGGTGCATCGATCTACACAATTGGGATACGATGACATGTGTCAACCAAATCAGTGAGCCTGCGAGTCGCCTCTTACAACAAGCATGGGTTACTGAAGACCAATTCTAACCCCGACCTTCATGGGTCCTTTTCTACCTTGGAATTTATACCAGTGAGTTTGGTTTATGACACTTAGAAAAGAACAGTTAGTTTGGTTGATAATGAACTGGGTTATTTTATTCTGTTCCAGTCACTTGTTGTAATGACCTCAGACATAAACCCAAATCATGGCACACATTGTGACAGTATTTCAATCATATTACAATTTGTCATATAGTCGGAGAAAAATGTGATAAAATCCCCCTCAAAAGTCCAGTAATATTTATCCTGAACCCATTGCAATATGACCTCAGACACAAAACCCAAACCATGGCACAAATTGTGAATTCCTTGATGTTTCCGTTAGTTATAAGAACCTAAAGTATGCTGATACTACGACATAAGTCCCTCCCACTCCACCAGGTACTGGACCTTGCTACTAGGCGTGACACGTCTTGCCAACACGTGGAACTTCTCCCCGTGAGCAAGACGGTCTGCTGCACCGAAATACTGCTTCACACTAGACTTCAGACTCTGGAAGTTCACTTCCTGAGCTCTTACAGCGTGGATAGCTCGTGGATCGACGACATTCTTCACAGGGTGGGGTAAACCCCATATCTTTTTAGGTCTCTTTATTGCGTACCCATCGAGCATAGCATCGTATTTCTGATTCTTGCGTCTGCTCCTCTTCTTGGGTAGCTCCTCCGGCTGTTCTTCTTCTTCAAAGTCCTCACTAATCAAATCAATGGACTCGTCGTCCACGGAAAACTGGGATGAATCCAACGAGCATTGAGAGGAATTGTCACAGTCGGAATTTAATCGACTTAAATCCAGTAACCTTGCCCGAAGACGTTCATGCTTGGCAATTTCTTCATTTCGTTCCACAACAGTCTTGAAGGGATGGTTGGAGCCCTCAAAGTTGATGGGTGGTGGAATGATGCTGTCTAAGGTACAGTGGGATGCAGTCTCGAAGCCGCTGTCATAGTCGTCAGAGTTGTGGCTGTTGGAGCGTCGACTGAAAGAACGTTTCCGGCATCCGTTGTAACCATTATACACCTGGCTCAGACTATCAGGGGAGTTCTGAAAGGAAACAAATTCTTGCTCATAGAGAATTTTCTGGGTTTCATCTTCTTTTGATTGTTTGGTACAACGTTTCAGGGCTTGTTCTGGCCCCATAATCAGGTAGAACTAAAGAACAGAACTGATGATGGGCCAGAACAAGCCCTGAAACATACCAAACAATAAAAAGGTGAGGTGAGGTGAAATTGGGCTTTACGTCGTGCTTCAGAATATTTCGCTCATATGACGACGTGCATGCATGTGTATGTGTATGTGCGGTTGTTTGTACTAGCCCAGACTTCAGCTGGTTTTATAGTGCTAGCCCACTGAGATACCATGCAGCAGTGAAGCATGAATACCCCACTCAGACACATTATACTGACTCCGAGCCGACCAGTCCTTGTTGTACCCATTAATGCCGAGCGCCAGGCAGGGACAAACAATAAAAAGAAGATGACACCCAGAAAATTCTCTAGGTTCATCAAAAACGCATCTTCGATAATGCCAATCAAACATCAAATTCTTGCTCAATGTCAGTTTTTCCTGCAGTTTCTGCAACATCAACAAGTGATGGATGAGCAGGACGTCAGCTGAAGCTGGGAAGAGGACTTGTAGCAATATAGCAGGGAGTCCAAACTAAGTGCCACTGGCAGGAAAATTGATAAAAAACGTGACATACTAACCCATACCTTTCTTGCATCAAGAAGCAGTCGTTTGGCTTTCTTGGTCTTGAAGACGATGGAATCATCAATATCCATGCATTTCCTCTTGGTATACTTGACTGGAATCGGCGAGCTGCTGATAGACAAACAAACACAGTACAGTGCCACTCATACAGCAGGGCTCCTGGTATTTCTACTAAACATCTGGATCGGTGGAGAGTTCTGATACATAATTGTTTCTCATACATTCAGGGGTGGAAATAACTTTAAAATTGCTAGTGTATTCCGGTACAGTGGCACATGTAAAGTCACTTGCCCTGATCATTTTCCCACTATACCGACCGTTTTCTTGCTGATTTTTTAAAATAAACAACATAATTAACATTTGAAAGGCAACTGGACACGGGTACAGTGTAATATACAAATTTGCTTGCCCAACAGAAAAAACACTGGACTCGGGTGTCGGGCAATGGGTTATTTCCACCCCTGTACATGCAGTCCTCGCCTCATCAGAACAGATTCAAGAACACATGTTCATTACCATAGGGAAAATACTCCAAATAATCACATTGGAGAAAGTCAAAATAACATAAATTCCTCATTCCTATATGAGTTTTGAGACATCATAATTCCAAAAATAATTGTAAAAATTCTGGCATCCCTAAAGTGAGTGAGTGAGTTTAGTTTTACGCACACTCAGTAAATAATCGAATTTGGACCTGACAATCCAGTGATCAACAGCATGAGCATTGATTTGCAGAATTGGGGATGACTGATGTGTCAACCAAGCCAGTGAGTCTGACAACTCGATCCTGTTAGTCTCCTCTTGCGACAAGCATTGGTAATGTTCCAGCTATATGGCGGCGGTCTGTACATAATTGAGTCTGGACCAGACAATCCAGTGATCAACAGCACGAGCATCGATCTGCACAATTTGGAACCGATGACATGTGTCAACCAAGCCAGCGAGCCTGACCACCCGATCCCGTTAGTCGCCTCTTACGACAAGCATGGGTTACTGAAGGTTCATTCTAACCTGGATCTTCACGGGTAAATTCCACATTTAGCAATATACCAGCATAATGATGGCCAATTCAATAACCTGGTTAAACAAAATGTCACTGACACAAAATCTGCGAGGTCATAGATTCTTATACACAATGTATACACATTCTTAACACATATTGCTATAAACTACATAAGATTATATCTTATGCCAGTGTAGAAAAGATGACCCTTGAAAATATTCTGTATTAACTGTCAATTTGAATATTATTGTACTTGAAAATTTATAATTTCTGTCTATTTTAAGATGACATGTGTTTTTGATTTTTCACCCCACTATACCTACTAGTGTTGGGAATTGGTTAAAATCTCATAATTGATGATTGGTTCATTACAACCGATCAATCATCGAAAATAATTGGTAAGCGTCATTTATGAAATTTGTTAATGCACATAAAAATAAGGAAAAAAAAGAGTAGTTCTTTTGGGGCTTTTTGGCAAAATTTCACATCTTTAAAGGGTGACTAGTATGTTAGGAACATAAATTTCTTGGAGCCTTTAAGATAAATTCAATCATGACTTGAAACGAGCTTGTAGTGCTTACAAAATGTAACAGACAAAACCAACCATGTGAAAAATATTGTTAATGAAAACAAGTGTTCGAAAATTGGTTGTGTTCGATTATGAGAAATTATGATCGATTGCTTGGTCGTTTAGTCACTACGACCAATCTTCGATTATTTCAATTAATCGGACCACCACTAATACCTACTTCCGACCACATGGACCCCGCGACATACCATTCTATAGGCACAAAAGTTTTTGTTTTTCGGCCCTTCATCTGTAGAGTTGACATGACCTCGTCCGATATGTGTCCGTCTGTTGGCAGGATGACGTTGGGGGCAGGTGGGGGGACGCGGACTCTCAGTCCCCACAGCGTTATCTTCTTCTTGATCTCCCGGCCCCAACAGAACCTGCAGCATCAACATCAACGACATGGTGAGTGAATGTAGTTTTATGCCACAGTCAACAATCATGAAATTAACTCAGTCATTTCATCTCATAATGGCTAGTGGAATTTCAGTTCTGTCAATGGTGATGGTACAGTCAGCTCTCGTTAATCCGACACTCATTAATCTGACAATCACGTTAATCCGACAAAAAAATTAGGGAACCATGTAAAACAGTGATAATTACTCTCGTTAATCCGACATTCTCGCATTCCGACTCCGACACACCAATCTAGCAGCTGAATATTGTAAATACATTGTAAAAACATTTGTTAATCCGACAATCAACACAGCCGGTCGGATGATCCAACCGTATACAAACAATCACACGTGAGTGGTAATTAGCGTGTGCCTTGTTAGTATTTTTTATTTCTGTGAATATTTTTACATACGACGAAGATAACTAGATCTACCATTTCTGATATGCATGCAACAGTATGACGATCATGACATTTAGTAAACATTGATATTTTCACACAAATACATTAATCCGACATTTTCGTTAATCCGACATATTTCTCTGCAACCACAAGTGTCGGATTAACGAGAGTTGACTGTATATATTTTCACAATTCAAGCTGGCATTCAGAGACATGTTATCCTCCCAAGAATATCTAATGGTTTTTTGTTTAATGTTGCCCTCTGCACTATTCCATCTACATGATACTGGCTTGTGAACAATTGAATTTGGGCCAGATAATTCAGTGACTGACATAATCAATCTATGTAATTGGCTTACGTAGATATTCATCAACCAAGTCAGCGAGCTAACCTGGTTAGTTGCCTCTTGTGACCAGCATGGATTGCTGAAACCGATTGTAACCTGCTAACATAGACACGCCCTAAGGAAGATAGTGTGTAGGGAGTGAGTGAGTGAGTGAGTGAGTGAGTGAGTGAGTGAGTGTGGATTTATGACACTTAGCAATATTACAGCAATGTTCCTAGAAATGGGCTTCACACCCTACAAAAAAAAGCTGTGCTATCATGTTATTGTACATATTTTACACACTGTTGTTTCTGAATGTCTACACTGTAAGGGAAGTACAATTAAAACATTTCTTTGGAGGGTTTAATTTGTACCAATAAAAATATCTCAATGGTAGAGAATTGAAGCCGAATCAGTTTAAACAGCTCAAATCAGCATACTTCATGAGATTGGAAGTTCAAAGTTTGCTTACTTTTCTCTAAACAGGGATGAGAATGTAGTTTTCAACAAAAATGACCCTTGGCCCCATGAAATTCCTGGAATTCCGCGGAAAATTCTCATCCCTGTCTAAACTCCCTCCTCTGGGCTTCAGGTGGAGTGGGGCAGCCTAATGGTTCAAGTGTTTGATTGTCACACCAAAGAGTCGGGTTCAACTCCCCGACATCAGTACAATATATGAAGAGATACCAGGTGTCCCCCCACTGTGATATTGCTGGAATAATTCTAAAAGTGGCATAGAACCACACTCGCTCATCCATTCTTATGGAGATGTGACCTTCACACTGAAGTATCTTATCGGGGTGAAAGATCTGCTGTTAACGACCTTGACCTGTAGCTCACCTGGACTTGTGTGTCTGGAGGGACTGCAGGACCTCGGACTCCACCTCATTGTTGGATGAACAGTTCAACTGGAACAGAAACAATGGTTCTAACTCATCACAACAGGTCACAGAAAATACCATCTGGAATTATCCAACAGATCTACCTTTTGAAATAAAACATTCATGCATTTTCATGTCCATTTCAAATCGCAGTCAGATATTTTTCACCATTATTTTAATATTTTACATTGTTCCTCACCTGGAAATAATATGAATAAAACAACACAAATAGGTATTTATTTGGACATCAGCATCCATCCTTTTGTGCAATGCATTTGTGAAACCATTTTTGGCTTTAGCAACATTCCAAAGTACCAATCACTTACCTTAAAAGTTTCAAAATATTCAGTTATACTTATTGTCTTTCGTTCCATCAATATTGTCTTTCGGTAACATGCTGTTGCATGTTGGTTTTTTCATTTTTGTTTTTCCACCACCTCTGAGTGAGTATGGTTTAATGCTGCTTTTAGCAATATTCCAGCAATATTACGGCAGGGGACACCAGAAATGGGCTTCACATCACCACCTCTGAGTGAGTATGGTTTAATGCTGCTTTTAGCAATATTCCAGCAATATTACGGCAGGGGACACCAGAAATGGGCTTCACATCACCACCTCTGAGTGAGTATGGTTTAATGCTGCTTTTAGCAATATTCCAGCAATATTACGGCAGGGGACACCAGAAATGGGCTTCACACCACCACCTCTGAGTGAGTATGGTTTAATGCTGCTTTTAGGAATATTCCAGCAATATTCACGGGGTACACCAGAAATGGGCTTCACACCAGAAATGGGCTTCACATCACATCACCTCTGAGTGAGTATGGTTTAACGCTGCTTTTAGCAATATTCCAGCAATATTACGGCAGGGGACACCAGAAATGGGCTTCACACCACCACCTCTGAGTGAGTATGGTTTAACGCTGCTTTTAGCAATATTCCAGCAATATTACGGCAGGGGACACCAGAAATGGTCTTCACACCACCACCTCTGAGTGAGTATGGTTTAACGCTGCTTTTAGCAATATTCCAGCAATATTACGGCAGGGGACACCAGAAATGGGCTTCACACCACCACCTCTGAGTGAGTATGGCTTATACAGCTTTTAGCAATATTCCAGCAATATTACGGCAGGGGACACCAGAAATGGTCTTCACACCACCACCTCTGAAGCAAACTGACTAGAGACATCAAACTCTGGGTGCAGTTGTACAAACCTTGTCCAACTGCAGGATGTCCCACCGGCTACAGACCCAGGGCAGGATGACATCGATCAGGTCGTAGTACTTCTTGGTGCCCTCCAAGGTCAGGTTGAATAGAGACAAGTGGACAATGTCCACCCTGAAATAAAGTGTTCGCACACCGTCATATACATGTAGAACACGCTTCCCTTCACAGACAAACATACACAAATTTTTCTTTTATGAGACTCTAAGTAACCGAGTGTGTTAGTGTATGACGACTTGCTTTCAACCCCGTAGGTTATAACATTTAAAGAGTTCTGTGACAACCTTACATGGCAACTACTTGGGTGAACTGCTACCTTAACTTTCATGGAACTAAATGGTCAATCTCAGTGTTTCTGCTGGCTTTTTTAAAAGCGGGACATTGTGACCAGCTAGCATTTCAAATACCGGTCATTTGTAAATCATACCGGTCACGTGATCACGCTTATCATTGTGCGCGAGACCTTGCACCCTAACAACCAATCAGAAAAGTAGAAGGTATCGCAGTGCGTCAATGCCGCTATATTTAGACTGGGGTTTTCCAAAACTGCTATTATTTATTTGACAACACCTTGATGTCATTGTGAAAATGTAATCTTTTTCGAGGAGAAATACAATTGACATAGGTAATTAGAAAATTGGTTTTAAAATTTGCCGGACATGATGACCGACAGCCTTTGAAATTACCGGACATTCTAACTTTGTACAGGTCAAAGTCTGGTATATACCAGATAATGGAAACACTGCTATCTGACTACGTAATGTATCAGTACACGCCTTACTGAACCAGTCGTGAACACAAACATACTGCCAGCAACATGGGCTTGCTAGCCGAGATATGAGGAAGCAAGAGAACTAAACATCATGATATCACTTTTTTGAAGTTGGACTATCAAAACAGTGAGTGAGTGAGTTTAAATTTAGTCACATCAGCAATATTACAGCCATATTGTGACTAAAACCAGTTATTCAAAATACAACTATCAGAACAGCCAAAGAATACATATCATAAATTACCTTAAAGGAAAATGTCAATCAATTTCGTAAATCAGTATATGCCAGGCTTCATTTTAACCAGAACTGTCAATGACTTGAACATCAAATTCAAAAACTTTCCAGGATTTAATGAAAATTGTAAACCCGAAGTATCTTTGACCTTTAAATCAAAGAGTAACAGCACAGCCCTCAGTAACCCTATTAGTAAACCATTCATTACCAAATAAGAATATCCTTCAACAGAACATCCTCCCAGCACTGAGTCTTACCACTTCATATCGAGTCGCTTGATGTACTCTGGGCCGTGGTTACAGTGGGAACACACGAACATGTAGAATCTGTCCCCACACAACAGTGGCATTTCCAAACACTGGGTACATGCTGAAATACAGGTGTTATCAGATCAATACAGGTGTGATCAGATAAATACATGTGTGATCTGACAAATACAGGTGTGATCAGACAAATACAGGTGTGATCAGACAAATACAGGTGTGATCAGACAAATGCAGATCTGATCAGACAAATGCAGGTGTGATCAGACAAATGCAGGTCTGATCAGACAAATGCAGTAGTGATCAGACAAATGCAGGTGTGATCAGACAAATGCAGATCTGATCAGACAAATGCAGGTGTGATCAGACAAATGCAGGTGTGATCAGACAAATACAGGTGTGATCAGACAAATGCAGGTGTGATCAGACAAATACAGGTGTGATCAGACAAACGCAGGTGTGATCAGACAAATACAGATGTGATCAGACAAATACAGGTGTGATCAGACAAATACAGGTGTGATCAGACAAATTCAGGTGTGATCAGCCAAATGCAGGTGTTATCAGACAAATACAGGTGTGATCAGACAAATGCAGATCTGATCAGACAAATACAGGTGTGAACAGACAAATGCAGATCTGATCAGACAAATACAGGTGTGACCAGACAAATACAGGTGTGATCAGATAAATACAGGTGTGATCAGATAATACAGGTGTGATCAGACAAATACAGGTGTTATCAGACAAATACAGATCTGATCAGCCAAATACAGGTGTGATCAGCCAAATGCAGATCTGATCAGACAAATGCAGATCTGATCAGCCAAATAGAGGTGTGATCAGACAAATACAGGTGTGATCAGACAAATGCAGATCTGATCAGCCAAATGCAGGTGTGATCATACAAATAAAGATGTGATCAGAGAAATACAGGTGTGATCAGACAAATGCAGGTGTGATCAGACAAATGCAGATCTGATCAGACAAATGCAGGTGTGATCAGACAAATACAGGTGTGATCAGACAAATACAGGTGTGATCAGATAAATGCAGGTGTTATCAGACAAATGCAGGTGTGATCAGACAAATGCAGATGTGATCAGACAAATACAGGTGTGATCAGACAAATACAGGTGTGATCAGATAAATGCAGGTGTGATCAGACAAATGCAGGTGTGATCAGACAAATGCAGATCTGATCAGCCAAATGCAGGTGTGATCAGACAAATACAGGTGTGATCAGACAAATGCAGATCTGATCAGCCAAATACAGGTGTGATCAGACAAATACAGGTGTGATCAGACAAATGCAGATCTGATCAGCCAAATACAGGTGTGATCAGACAAATACAGGTGTGATCAGACAAATGCAGATCTGATCAGCCAAATGCAGGTGTGATCATACAAATGCAGGTGTGATCATACAAATACAGGTGTGATCAGAGAAATACAGGTGTGATCAGACAAATGCAGGTGTGATCAGACAAATGCAGATCTGATCAGACAAATGCAGGTGTGATCAGATAAATGCAGGTGTGATCAGACAAATGCAGGTGTGATCAGACAAATGCAGATCTGATCAGCCAAATGCAGGTGTGATCAGACAAATACAGGTGTGATCAGACAAATGCAGATCTGATCAGACAAATACAGGTGTGGTCAGACAAATACAGGTGTGATCAGATAAATGCAGGTGTGATCAGACAAATGCAGATCTGATCAGACAAATACAGGTGTGATCAGACAAATACAGGTGTGATCAGACAAACGCAGGTGTGATCAGACAAATATAGGTGTGATTAGATAAATAAAAGTATGATCAGACAAATACAGGTGTGATCAGACAAACATGGGAATGATTAGACAACATGCTCTCTGTACTTTGACTACAAATGTAGTTACATTATGTACAAATGCTGTGTAGACTAGTCAAGGAGATGTGTTACAATATTATGCTGGCCAGTCACCAATCCCAGTTCTTATTTTCAGAATACAATAATGCTAGAATCATGTCAAATTTCTAAATGCTGTACAGCTGGTTCCTGTTTACTGGAGCTGTCATAGCCAAGAGGTGTCTATAAATAGCAATGTTTTGGTGCCATACCTATTCAGAAGAAGTTTAGAAGAAATATAAGCTGATATATTTATGCTTATAATGTTACATTAATTGTTGATTTATTTCTCGAACTTGACTTGCACCTGATGCAAGTTAGACTAATAACTCGGTTGCACTTTGTAATATTGGGTTGCACCAGTGCAAGTAACAAAGAACTAAATCAAGCCCTGTGTCTGCACGAGCTGACGAAACGTTTTTTCAAGACGTGAGGGTGGAATAAAACTCCTGGCCCCGATTTCTCGAAACAAACTTAAGTTTTTACTCAAATTTCAAACTGAGTTGGACAATTTGAAACAGCTGAATTTTTAACTCAACTGCATTTTTTAAATAAAAAAGCCCAAACAACTTAAGTAATCAATCCACCAAACTCAAATTGTCTACTATGTTTGAGTTTAATATCGATTTCAGTTCATTCTGGGAAATGCATTTTCTCAAATTTGAGTAAAAACTCTAACTTAAGTCAAAACTCAGACTTAAGTTTGTTTCGAGAAATCGGGGCCAGATCTTCAAATCCTGACACACGCACATTAAACATTGTGACATTATGTCAGTACAAACAAGCCAGCCTTACAGGGCTTTTGACAAGGTGGTCACCTGCAATCAGTCAGCTAGAGATTGTTCTGATTTATCAAGATGCTAAAGATGTTGTCCACTAATCAGACAGCAAGAAGTTATTGTGGAAACTCACTCTCCAGGCCCTCCGCAGTAGCAGTAGCACTGCTGGGTGTTGGTCTTGTGTTGTGCATCCCAAGTCAATTTGCTCAACTGAAACACGGAATTGTTCTACATCATCAAAAATATAAAACCACCAACATTTCTACATGCACTTTATGCTTTCTACTTGTTGCTAGTTTTGTTTAAAAGACACTTAACCTAAATTCTGTGACTCACTGTGATTGAGTGAGTTTAGTTTACGCCACACACAGCAATATTCCAGCTATATGGCCGCAGTCTGTAAATAATCGAGTCTGGACCAGACAATCCAGTGATCAACATCATGAGTATCAATCTATGCAATTGGGATACGATGACATGTGCCAACCAAGTCAGCAAGCCTAACCATCCGATCGCCTCTTACGATAAGCATGGGTTACTGAATATCATTTCTTCCTAACTTCAGTGTGTTTGATGTAATTCATTATTTCAATTTCAACTTCCGGAATAATACTACTAATAACTAGGGGAGGGTATTGCAGAGAATTTTCATATTGCCATATATTGCGATGCGAAAGCATGTATTACGATATGTATTGCAATATATTGCATGAAGTATATTTAAACAAAAAACTACTTATAATCGAGTTACTTCTTGATTTATACAGCAAAAACACTAGGCTTGATTAAGCTTTAATAACAACTTTTAATCATGATAAAATAAAAATGTGAATAATATTTGGCACAAATGAAACAAGGACGTATCCGAACATTTCCGAGTGTTACGAAGTTTTCCGAATGCAAGTCAAAATACCGATTTTTGATCAGCGTATCGCAATACATATCGTTTTCATGTCTGAACCGGTAAATACCGGTAAACTGGCTATATTACGCAGCCCTACTTATAACAAGTGTTTGCCACTAAAATGGCAATGTCCCTGCCGCTAAAGAAGAATGAAATATTTATAACATATTTACTAGTTTTTATGTTTTGGAGTAAGTGAGTATGGTTTCAGCCGCTTTTAGCAACATTCCAGCAACATCATGGTGGGGGCACCAGAAATGGGCTTCACACATTGTATCAATGTGGGGATTTGAACCCGGGTCTTCTGTGTGATGAGCGAACGCTTTAACCATTAGGCTACCTCACCGTCCCTTATTTTTTTGGTTACATACAAGATTCCTGGAATGACTGGTGTCTGCATAATCACTTAAGTTTGAAAAGGGGTCAAAGTGTCGTGGTGACCTTGAAAAAAAGGGTCAAGGTCACCCACATTAACTAGCGTCTGCGTAATCCCCCAATGTAGGCTGTCACTAAATTTGGGTACAACAGTGCACGAGATATTGCGTTAACAAGAATCGGGACGTACGTACGGAGGCTGCTGAATACATAGCCCCCATTGCAGCGGGGGACAATGAATAATAGACAAGGAAGTTTTACTGGGGAGATATTGAAAGATAAGCGAATGTTTTGGGCTAGAATAAACACTTCTACATTACACACCATTCACCATTTCTTAACAAATGTGATAAAATCTTGTGGCTTTTCACGTCATTTTCCTAATCGGAAAATAAGAGTTGACAAAATTTGGCTGTTAAATTTACTTTTTTAAATATATGTTTTCTGTTTGCTTCATAAACCAAGCAACAACATAGCGATATGCTTGGGTGTCTTGTTTGCACGTACTAGCCTACGACTGCTATACCATGCACCAGACTTAACGTCAATACCAGGGGTGGAAATAACCCATTGCCCGATGCCCCGAGTCCAGTGTTTTTTTCTGTCGGGCAAGCAAATTTGTATATCACACTGTACCTGTATCCAGTTGACTTTCCAATATTAATTATGTTGTTTATTTAAAAAATCAACAAGAAAATCAGCCAGTATAGTGGAAAAATTATCAGGGCAAGTGATTTTACATGTGCCACTGTACCGGAGTACACTAGCAATTTTAAAGTTATTTCCACCCCTGAATACCCCACTCAGTCACAGCAAACTGATGTGATCACCCATTTAGTAAACTGGAATCAATTATATATTGCTACTTACATTGTATGGAAACGTCTGCTTCATTGTTTGAAAAGCCTTTGCTGAAATTCAGACAAAATATCATGTAATTCTAAAAATCACACATCACTTGGTTGCATGTAAAAAGAAACATATATACATGAAAGGGTCTCTTCAAAACAGATACTTATTTTAATATTCAGGGTTTTATATAGACTTTGAAAAATGGGAGTCATGGTGACTCAATGTCTTCGGGAGTCATTTTCTTTTGTGTCATGAAAATATTTTGTCAATAAAATCATTCCAGTATTAATTCTAAATTAAGTATGGGCTATTAAAGAATATATTGTTTTACTGATTGCAGTTTACAGTCAGAAAACCTTAAATTGCATATTGTACACATATGACTTGTACGAAAATATTTTGGGAGCATTTACAAATTGTCAAGTCAAATATGCAGGAAATACACATCAAGTAAAACTGTGATTATTTTGTTTTGTTGTCTGTTTTCTATTCCGCTCATTTCTTCCCAGTAATTACTAGGAATTTAGTTTTAATTTGCTTTCAGTCTGTTAACATCAAAGTCAAACTTCTCAAATATCATTCCAATCTGCATGCTCAACACACATCTGCGGACATCCTAGTGTAAGTTACTGTAAGGAGTAACTCAACAGCCATCAATATGGGCGTTGTTTCTACGTTAGGGGATGACACTCCTTACACTGCTGCTGTTAAAAGGTAGGCAGTGGAGTTCAAGTCGGGAACAAAAACCTAAAAGAGATCTAAAATCAGGAAGATTTCAACTGCCACAACAGGGCTCGATTTAAGCATTTAGAACTTGCACTGGTGCAGCCTGAAACTGCTAAATGCAACCTCTTATTTATACCAACTTGCACCCAGTGGATGTTACTATCTTGTGTACAAAGAACACAGACTTCAGCTGGAAAACAGAATGATGAGGAACTGACTAGGAACAGTGACTGTGATTATTGTAGGAAGAGTCACTGAAGGACTTACTGTTCATGAGAGTTTAGGAAGTAAGATAAATACAGATTTCTTTTGTTACAATACTGTTCTAAACCGTCTTTACCAAAACTCCAGCATTATAGAAGATTTTATATTGAGCAGCAGGTGCAACCTGTTTTGTTTGGTGCAACAAGGTGATTGAATCAGGTTGCACTGGGTTCAAGTAGGTTTCATTTCCTTAAATCGACCCCCTGCACCAGCAGGGCATGGGGCATGGATGACCAATTGCATTCTTGACTCCACATGGGGAGATACCATTGCAATATTTGAGCTATAGGAAGGCAGACATCATCTTGACTAGTTATTGATGTTATAAGCAATGCTAGGTCATTGCCTGATGACCTGGGGCCCAATCCACGAAGTCTTAAAGTCACCATGTCATTCATAATGGGACAAACCAGGTACAACTGATATTACAACTTTACCTGTTGGTCCCTTCTTGAGTGCACCTCCTCTCTGCAAGGATGAAACTTGATTGCATGAAGATTTTCCAGAAAGTATGAAATAAACCTACATTTCTATAAAAGACAGAGTGTTTTGAAGATATTCTTTTGTAGTTTCTGCATCTATTTCAGAAGTTGTGCAAATCAATAAGGGCATTTTCAATTGTAGTCTAATTTCCAAGACATATAATACCATTTAGTACATCCATCCTATTGTGCTTACATCTTGCATCAAATTATACTACTTAAATAGGTAAAGGACCACCCAAGTCTGTACTATAAGTAACTTACATAAGTTAAGTTTTTATGACAGATAAACAATTGGAATGTAACTCTGTTGTAGAATATATACTACTCAAATTTTGATGGGGATGACATTTGTAATTCTATTTAAATACATATTTGACATATTATGAGAATTAGCTTTGTGTATTATGGAATAATGAGTATATCGTGGTGTTGTATACGCCTGTTATTCTCCCTCCTCACCTTGACGGTGGTAGCAAACACACACAGTCGACACATGAAGTCTACACTGGGCTGTAGGATGGCGTCATCTATCGGGGGATTGTGACACTGCTGGTGATAGCCTAGAAACAACAATGTTCACACATGACAACACTGTTCACAGATCACAACACTGTTCACAGGTCACAGCAATGTTCACAGATCACAACACTGTTCACAGGTCACAACAATGTTCACAGATCACAACACTGTTCACAGGTCACAACAATGTTCACAGATCACAACACAGTTCACAGGTCACAGCAATGTTCACAGATCACAACACTGTTCACAGATCACAACACTGTTCACAGGTCACAGCAATGTTCACAGATGACAATGTTCACAGATCACAACACTGTTCACAGATCACAACACTGTTCACAGATCACAACAATGTTCACAGATCACAACACTGTTCACAGCAATGTTCACAGATCACAACACTGTTCACAGATGACAACAATGTTCACCGATGACAACAATGTTCACCGATGACAACAATGTTCACAGATCACAACACTGTTCACAGATCACAACACTGTTCACAGGCCACAGCAATGTTCACAGATGACAACAATGTTCACAGATCACAACACTGTTCACAGATGACAACAATGTTCACCGATGACAACAATGTTCACAGGTCACAACACTGTTCACAGGTCACTGCAATGTCCACACATGACAACACTGTTCACAGGTCACTGCAATGTCCACACATGACAACAATGTTCACAGATCACAACACAGTTCACAGCAATGTTCAGAAATGTTCAATGTTCAGATAACATCAATGTTCATGACATCAATGTTCGTACGCCCATCAATGTTCATACATCGCATCAACGTTCAGAGATCGCATCAATATTCAGAGATCACATCAGTGTTCAGACATCACATCAATGTTCAGAGATCACATCAATGTTCAGAGATCACATCAATGTTCAGACATCGCATCAATGTTCAGACATCGCATCAATGTTCAGACATCACATCAATGTTCAGACATCGCACATCAATGTTCAGACATCGCATCAATGTTCAGACATCAGCATCAATGTTCAGAGATCACATCATACATCGCATCAATGTTCAGACATCACATCAATGTTCAGACATCACATCAATGTTCAGAGATCACATCAATGTTCAGACATCACATCAATGTTCAGAGATCAATGTTCAGACGATCGCATCAATGTTCAGAGATCGCATCAATGTTCAGACATGGCATCAATGTTCAGACATCACATCAATGTTCAGAGATCACATCAATGTTCAGACATCACATCAATGTTCAGACATCATCAATGTTCAGACATCACATCAATGTTCGGCATCAATGTTCAGACATCATCAATGTTCAGACATGGCATCAATGTTCAGACATCATCAATGTCAATGTTCAGACATCACATCAATGTTCAGACATCGCATCAATGTTCAGACATCATCAATGTTCAGACATCAATCAATGTTCAGATATCGACATCATCAATGTTCAGACATCGCATCAATGTTCAGACATCATCATCAATGTTCAGACATGTTCAGACATCGCATCAATGTTCAGACATCGCATCAATGTTCAGACATCATCAATGTTCAGATCGATCATGTTCAGACATCATCAATGTTCAGACATCGCATCACATCAATGTTCAGACATCAGACATCATCAATGTTCAGAGATCGCATCAATGTTCAGACATCGTATCAATGTTCAGACATCAATGTTCAGACATCATCAATGTTCAGAGATCACATCAATGTTCAGATCATCAATGTTCAGACATCATCATCAATGTTCAGAGATCACATTCAGACATCACATCAATGTTCAGAGATCACATCAATGTTCAATGTTCAGACATCATCAATGTTCAATGTCAATCAGACATCATCATCAATGTTCAGACAATGTCATCAATGTTCAGACATGGCATCATGATGTTCAGACATCGTGATCAATGTTCAGACATCATCAATGTTCAGAGATCACATCAATGTTCAGACATCAATCAATGTTCAGACATCGTGATCATCAATGTTCAATGTTCAGACATCGCATCAATGTTCAGACATCGCATCAATGACATCGCATCAATGTTCAGACATCGCATCAATGTTCAGACATCACATCAATGTTCAGACATCGCATCAATGTTCAGACATCGCATCAATGTTCAGACATGGCATCAATGTTCAGACATCACATCAATGTTCAGAGATCACATCAATGCATCAATGTTCAGACATCGATCATCAATGTTCAGACATCGCATCAATGTTCAGACATGGCATCAATGTTCAGACATCATCAATGTTCAGACATCACATCAATGTTCAGACATCACATCAATGTTCAGACATCACATCAATGTTCAGACATCGTGATCAATGTTCAGACATCGCATCAATGTTCAGAGATCATCAATGTTCAGACATCGCATCAATGTTCAGACATCACATCAATGTTCAGACATCGCATCAATGTTCAGAGATCACATCAATGTTCAGACATCGCATCAATGTTCAGACATCGCATCAATGTTCAGACATCGCATCAATGTTCAGACATCACATCAATGTTCAGACATCACATCAATGTTCAGAGATCACATCAATGTTCAGACATCGCATCAATGTTCAGAGATCACATCAATGTTCAGACATCACATCAATGTTCAGATCAATGTTCATGTTCAGACATCGTGATCAGTGTTCAGACATCACATCAATGTTCAGACATCACATCAATGTTCAGAGCTCACATCAATGTTCAGACATCGCATCAGTGTTCAGACATCACATCAATGAAACAACCCCAGGACCCAAGTCTGTAGGTCACAGCCTGTACCTCCCACCAATACTCACCAACACAACAGTTCCCACAAAGTAATAACACAAAAATAAGATAATTTACATTGTGACATGAAACAAAACCAATCATGTTCTATACTTGAACTAAAATCAATGTAATAATAATTTCCTTAAAATGGCGTATCCAGTGTCATATCCATGATATTGTCCTTACCAAGTCCACAGTTGTCACAGAGAACAATTTCATTGGGAACGTCGGACATCTCATCTCGGCATATACAGCAGGCTATATCCCCCTTGATTGCCCCTGGAACACATCCAATCACAGAGTGAGTAAGTGAGTGACTTTAATTTCCTTTAAACAGAATTTCTGTTATACCACAGTGAATCAGCTTTATGCTGGAGGAATAAGATACAGATTGTAGACATTTAACACTGAGAGGGAACTCACAAGTATCAGGGCTCCAGATAATTTTTCAACATCAGGAGTATGTACTCCTTATTTTTTCAATATAGGAGTACTGGAAAACCTTAAGTGTACATTTAGAGTACTGAATGGAATTTAATGGAGTATCAGTAATCTTGTGTTTCGTTTCATATATGCACCGCAACATTGCTACTCTTGTGTAAACAGGTCAATAAACAAAAAACAATACTTTTTCAGATAAGAAAAGATTGTAAACCATTGCTGTGGAGCGTATCTGCTACGCTTCCTAAATTATTTCCTATCGTATCGTGCATATTTTGTATCCGTACATACGCCGATACGGCCTTTATCTGGAGCCCTGAGTATGAGTTCACTGACAATCCTAGACACATAATCAGGGCAAACTGGTATTCTGATAAATGATCTCAGGTTTCTGGCATAAATACATGCCGAACCATTTTATTGAACTTTCACTAGTGTTTTGGTTTTGGTGAAATAACCTTAAAATCAACAGCGACATCACAAGACCTCCAGAAATTAACCAGGAAAATCTGTTTAAAACAAAACAAATTTGTAGCACAAGTGTAAGTGACACAAATGAGTGAGTGAGTTTAGTTTTACGCCGCTTTTAGTAATATTCTAGCAATATCACAGCAGGGGACACCAGAAATGGGCTTTACACACTGTACCCATGTTGGGAATCGAAACCATGATGAGGTTTTTGCATGATGAGCGAACACTTTAACCAGTAGGCTACCCTACCGCCCCTACACAAATGGTTGGACATGAAGGTAATTCATTCTCAATATTCAGCAAGACAGTAGCGTATGACTGCTACAAGATTAGAGGTGTGACGATAAAGAAATTTCACAATACGATACGTATCGCGATATCTTGAAACGATACAATTCGATTAGATGCATATCACGATATGCTTTCTTTAGTTATTTTCCTTAAAAAATAATATTCTTATAGCAAGAAATTTTGACATAACCGTCAATATCTAATGAAAATTAACAATTTTAAGGTCAACGATACATATCATGACAAATGGTTGGACATGATCGAATATTTATTCGTCAGATAAAATATCACGATTATCGATACTACGTATATATATCGTCACAGCTCTATACAAGATGCATGTAAATACCTCCGTGCTGTTGTGAAACACCCTTTAACTTACCTCGCTGGATGTCCTTGAAAAGCACCCAATGTTCAGAGTTGTCTTCGAAGTTCACCAGACACTTGCCAACCTTATCGTCTATCTGAAATGAGCAAGTATGGTTTTATGCAGCTTTTAGCAATATTCCACCAATATCACACCTTGGGACACAAGACACAGCCTCCAGCGACTTGACCCAAGTGGGAGAATCAAATATGGTCCATCAACATGTTCAGCATGATGAGTGAATGCTTCAACCATTGGACTACCCATCCTTATCGTCTATTTTCTATGAGTGAGTCTGGTTTTATGCTGTTTATAGCAATATTCCAGCTGTTACGAGAGTTGTTTTTTGTAATTTGTATTATCATTGATTAAGTGATAGTTATTATGGGTCACAATGTTTAAAGTTTTGAGTGTGGGTTGTGGGTTGTGGGTCATATTGCGCACCATATATGTTCAATGGCAATACTATTTTTAGCGGGACGCCTTTATGATAGCGCTCCAGAGTTGCCCTCCTTGGCTTTATTTCTGTTTTGACCGGTCGTACGTTCCACAGATTTCCATAAAGTTCTCATTGGATAAAGAATGTTCTAGACTCTGTGTCAGTATATGTAAAGGCTGGTTGTTGTGTTTACACACGTACTAACACGGAATTACACGGGACTTTTCATATCACTGGAGTTGTGTACATCTTTCTGCCGTCACCTGCCTACTGTCGTTGTCTGCCTTCGTCATCGTCTGACCTACATTCAAGATTGACACTGTGTGCCTTATTCAACTTTCATTGTAAACTACCTTCAATTAGTATATCTGCTCTCATTGTAAATGCCAAGACTCTGGTGAGTTAATATTTCATATTTGTGACTCATTACTGTAGATTTGTGACTCAATTGCATTGTACTAAATATCTGTATTGTCATTCAATATAGCTTGCTCATTGTTTGCTCAATATATTATTGAATATTTTAGACTTGTCTGTGTTATATTTTGCTGGTTCAAAGGAGATTCTTAAACCTTTTGTCACGCAAATTGTTAACCGAAACACAGCAATATGACAACAGGAAGACACTAGAAATGAGTTTCACATATTCATTCAACACTTGGGAATCAACTACAGGCCCAGCGTTCAAAATAATCGCCGGCCCAGAGGCCCAGCGCCGGTTGTTATTGTATCGGGCCGGCAGTTTGAAATATTTGCAAGCCCCTGTGGCCTTCAGTACATTTTCTGTAATTTTTTCCAACTATATTCTTTCTCCATATTGTTTTTCTTTATTAGCGTTCGGGAATCATCCATGATCCATCATGTTACGATAACTTACAGTTCCACTTCCTGGTATTTCAGCGCTTTGTGCATATTAATGTAAACACCAGTCCTTAACAAATAAAGACGCCATAGATTTTGTAGACACAGTGTGAAACTGTGTACAGTGTAGTCTATTTTGTTTTTATTGGCAAAATGACTTTGACAAAATGGGCCTGCAGATTTCATTCGGGGCCTGTAGATTTTAAAGCCTGAAGGCGGCAGCAGGCCCTGATAGCCAACTGGCAAATTAAAGTATTGCACACACTGTACAGCCCTTCAGCAACCTTAGCATGACGAGCAAACGCTTTCACCACTAGACACTAGTGTTGGGAATTGGTTGAAATCTCACAATTGATAATTGGTTCATTACCAACAACCAATCATCGGAAAAAATCGGTTAGCATCATTTTTCAGATTTTCCTATTCAGGTTGATTTTGCACATAAATATAACATGGTTTTCTGTTGTTGTTGTTGGTTTGTTTTTTATTTAGAAACTGTGCAATTGCATTTGCAAATTTCACATCCAATGTAAAATGATGCAAATTGCTACTTTAAAGCGATGACTAATATATGATGAAGATAAACTTCCCAGAATCTTCATGAAATATTCAGTCATGACTTTTCAGTAAGGCCAAAAAACAACATTTGTTGTGGTTCCGATTACCCGACCGACCCTTGAATTCTGGTGCCGACCGTAATTTTTTTAAGCAGTATGAATGACATAAGCTTTTAGATACCATTGTTTTTTTCCAGGCACCGACGGACATCGGTCATTCTGATAGAGAAAGTCGACATGATGGCCAAAACCTTGATTGAATAAACAATTATACATTGATAAATGTGGTATTAGTTTGTACTTTACTTCTAAAAAAAATGCTACAAAAAATAATCCATCCTACCTACCCTAAATTTTAAATAGGTATAATCAGACCACAACATTTTTTTTATTTGGCCTAAGTGAAGGGAGTTTTGTAAGAATTAAACACGTTTTCAGACCCTGACAACTTCTAAGATGTGTTCCATAATCAAGTGTTACAAACACTAAAACAGTAGTTCTAAAATTGTTTGTGTTCGATGATGAGAAAACGTGATCGATTGCTTGGTCATTTGGTCACTGCAACCAATCTTCGATTATTTCAATTAATCGGAACACCACTACTGGACACCAATCTTTTCTTGCATTCTGAACTGAAATCATGTAACCATATAGTTGTTCATAAAGGGAGCATACCTATACATAAATGTTAGCAATGGCAACACCAGCAAAGCACTTGTCCTTACAGCTTTCAATGCATCTATTTTTTTAAGCTGCCAGGGAATCTGACCACTTGTTCCATTTCTGAGAAGTACAAATGAGTTTGGCTTTGAGTGAGTGAGTTAAGTTTTTAAGTCACATCAGCAATATTTCAGCCATATCGTGACTACAAACAAGTTATAATTTTACAACAAATAAAGTTAAATTAGCTAAAACATGTCAGCGAAGGACAGTAAAACAACTAGTTTATCACAGATGTCAATTTAAAACTAGTAATTAACACTAAAACAGTTTAACTATAGATGACAATACAATATAGTTTGGCTTTAAAGAGAATTCCAGTTATATCATGTGGGGCAAAAGCCTCAAAATGTCTCAAAGTGTTTACCACTTTGGTGGTGAGTGAGTGAGTGAGTTTACTTTTACGCCGCACTCAGCAATATTCCAGCTATATGGCGGCGGTCTGTAAATAATTGAGTCTGGACCAGACAATCCAGTGATCAACAGCATGAGCATCGATCTGCACAATTGGGAACCGATGACATGTGTCAACCAAGTCAGCGGAGCCTGACCACCCGATCCCATTAGTCGCCTCTTACGACAAGCATAGTCACCTTTTGTGGCAAGGATGGGTTGCTGAAGACCAATTCTACCCCGGATCTTCACGGCCACTTTGGTGGTGAAACTGTATATATGGTGGTGACAAATCTACGAACATAATCAGGTTACTGAGATTTGAACCTGCGATGGTGTGTTCCTCACCTGCCCAAGGGACACAACTCTGCACAGCGACTTGCAGCACCCGTGGCACAGTGTAAGTACCCATACTCTGTTGCTGACTTCACAAGTGGTGATTAATTGAAATAATCGAAGATTGGTCGCAAGGACAAAACAACCAAGCAATCGATCATGTTTTCTCATAATCGAACACAAACAATTTTGGAACACTTGTTTGCAATAACAATATTTTTCAAAAGGTTGATTTTGTCTCTACATTGCATAACCACTACAAGCTCGTTCCAAGTCATGATTAAAATTTATCTTAACAACTCCAGGAAATGTAGGTCCTAACACACAAGTCATCCTTAAAGATGTGAAATTCGCAAATGCATTTTGTGCAATTTGTGAGAAAACCCCCCGAGAGAACTACATGTTTTTTTTTTTTTTTTTTAAATGAGGCTAACAAATTATTTTCGATCATTGATCGGTTGTAATGAAAAAAAGTCATCAATTATGAGATTTAAACCAATTCCCAACACTAGACGTCACACTCAGCAATATTCCAGTCATACTGCAGCAGCATCCAAATAATTGAATTTGGGCCAGACAAACAAGTGATTGATCTTATGAGTAAGGATATATGCAAGCAGGGTACAAGGGCAGACATCAGCAAGGATGACCACCCTATCCATTAAGCCACCCATGACAATAACCATGGGTTCTTGGGAGACCTGTTTTAACAAGCATTCCCACACTGAACTCACCTTTATAATCTTCCCCAGGTAGAAGAGTCCATCGCTCCATCGGCATAACACTTCCAAGCTGACATGGAACTTCCCTGCCACACTCTGTGTCGCCGAGCCTGGGGGTCTCCCTTTACAGCTCATCTCACCTGTCGACATGTAACGAGAAGGTGCCAACATGATACAGGTGAGTCTACTAACATGGGTTTGAGATTACTCGGATGTAAAATTATACACAAAAAAACACACCTGGTTCATTGAAACATATTAAAATGTCTTGATCAAACTATGATCTGAGTTTACTTCCTTTATTACATAAAAGCAACAAACTTTCTGTAATTACAGGACATGTCTGCCAAAAGCAGAGATTAGTGTATGATTTGGACATAATAAAAAGCAAGTGTTCATGAATTGCTATCAAATACTGACGAGGATAGATGTCTACAAAACGCCGAGAATATCCTGCCCCACTGGGAGGCACCCATCACAAACACATAAGCAAATTGTTCACCTGAAACCAAGTGGCAACTTATCAAACTCCCCTTGTACCATTACCAAAGCAAGAATTGGCTGAAGTTTATTACTTAAAAAATCATATTCAGTAACACCATGCACATTTTGGGACTGTATTGGTAAGAACCATCTTACTACTGCGATAGTGAACTATGATTACGCAATGCCATTTTAGAAAGTGGTTAAATGTAACATATGTTATATTTGGGATTACACTTCCTTAGTTTCTTTGCGGAAATCGCGGTGGCTGAGCGGGTTAGGCGGTTGACTTTGTGTGCTGGCGATTAGGTGCCTGACCCTGAGGGTGTGAGTTCGAATCCCGGATGGGACTCAACCCAACAAAAGCACTGGAATCTGTACTTTAATAAGAAAGTGTAATCCCAAATATACTGACTGACTGAGTTTGGTTTTACACCGCTTTTAGCAATATTCCAGCAACATCACGGTGGGGGGACACCAGATATGGGCTTCACACATTGTACCCATGTGGGGATTCGAACCCGGGTCTTCGGCGTGACGAACCAACGCCTTAACCACTAGGCTACCCCACCGCCCCAATCCCAAATATAATATATGTTGAGTAGTGACCTACCTTTGCAACAATGCCCTAGTATATAACTTATCACATCACTGGTCAGATTTGTTTTATAGTCTCGACGATATATTGCCAAAGTATTGTGCACTGAAGCTGCAATACGTTACAAATCCTGATATAAGGGTTGCAATACGATACGTATCACGATACTAAAATCTTTAATGATAACACCAAATGTAAAACACCTTAAAATCAAAGCAAAACCATTTTAGAGCATTTCGTCAAATTCCGCCAGCGTTTTTCAATGTTCATTCGGAAATGAGATAATTAAGTTTATACACAGACTTTGTGAATGTTAATAAAATGCGAGCGCTGTATTACAGTTCCTGACGCAAGAATTTCCGAGAAACTTATGAAGGGAATATTAGTATGCATATATTTTAATCATCAAACAAAAGTTAGTCTTTCTTGACAGATATCGCGATTTGGCCATATTCAAAGTAAAACATCGATGTATCGTGGCCCATTTGAAGTATCGTATCAGGATATAAGAAAATGTAAAACTTTGTATCGATTCACTATATCGGCAGCCCATTGATGCGTATCGATGAATCGTCACACCACTAGTTGACATAGCGATTTATCTCCTTAGCGTTCAGCTTCTTGAGATTATTGCTATGTTCCATCATCATTTGTTTTTCCTGTCATGTGATTAATAAATTATTGTTTCAAGGTGTTTTACATTACTAATGGTATGTTCATTCATTTTCTGCACGAGTAATGTTTGTATTAAGTGAATTTAATGTCGTGGGTACCTTTGTATAAAACAACTTTAGAGCTAACACTATTTTAAGCCTATGTTGAGGTATGGGAGTTGCGGTCACCTTAGTGCTAAGATTACTTTGTACAACAATACCCTGTTCAAGATTATTGCACCTTTGTTGGTATAATCATATATATATATGGCTATCTGTCCAGACTAACACAACTATCATAGTACAAGCCCACACAGCTCTACATGAATCCCCATCAAACACAGTATACGACTCTGAGCTGACAAGTATCATAATGTACCAAATGTTTAGTGAATCAATCGAAAAACAAATGAATCACATGTGACATATATATGCATATGCATTCCTACTATGATATGATATTTCAAATTACATCTTGGTAAGTGGATGTGATGGATTCTCATTTACAGGAGCTATACACTGCAATCCAATTTTCGGTTAATCAAATCCTGTTGAAAGTCATGACTGACTAGTAATTTTCTCCTAAAATGTAGCTATTTTACATAACTACTTGTACACAGTGGGATAAGTCACGTGACTATTAACCTTCTAGCGCCTCACAGGCAGCTTGGGTTATCCGGGGTAATAATGTGCTGTGCTTTGATTGTTAGCGCTATGAGCATTCGCCTAGTGAATGAAGTTTAACATATTATAAATGCACTTATTATTATCATAACATGAGTTGAATATGATAATGGTATGTATCAATTCTTAATTAATCAGTGGTCAAACATTTTCTCTCAAAAGTACACAACATACCATTGCCTTATATTGAGGTAGCACAGACTCTTGTTCTTGTTTATACATTTAATACCCACGAGTGCAACCTACCTAAACTTCCAACCTGTGTAAATATTTCAGAAACTGACCCAAATTGTACCCTTTAGGGTAGATACTTCCGTACTTATTATGCTCACTTTTCCCACATAAAACAACATGACTGTACTGGGGCACTAGGTCGTGTTAATAGTCAAGTCTGGTTGTATAGACTACTAGGGTGTGACTGAGTAAAGCCATTGCACTTTATTGATCGCGACCGTTACAACTGAAATCACGCTGATGCTAATCGCGCTAATTGCTTATCGAAACACACAGCAAGGGGGCGGGGTTTGTTCATGAAGATTATTGACATTCTCGACCATTTTCAATAATTATTTCATAATATACTAATAATTCAGACATACAGCTATTGTGGACGTCATTTGATCGGCAGCGAATTAGTCTCACAATCAAACCAAATCTTATCGATAAGTTCAAGAGAAATTCAAATTTTAGGACAAACATTTTACCTATATCTGATAGTTCTCAATCAGATATATAAACGAACGCCATGTCCCAATAAGATTTACCAGCCAACAACCAGTGGTCAAAATGTCAACAGGTATTTAAACCATGCCAGCCCTTCGCTCACATCGCCAGCGACACGGTGTGTACACATTGCGGAGCTACCTCCCAATACTTGACGATTGTTTACCTGTGTGGTGACAATCAGGGAATTGTCCAGTAGAAAAAACACCACAAGTAGGTTCAGAATATCCGTATTACGTCTCCCCACGTCAATATATGTACAAAACAACACCGTTCAACACATCAGTTGATAGATTTGTAAATTCAGCAAAATCAAATGTGTATTTCTCCCGCCATGCTTGCAGTGCACGCGCAGTAATACTTAAACTTAAATGGTTTTCTTCCGGTTTCTTTCAGATATCTCTCTGCATTTGTATGTGTTTGGAAACACATTCCAAATAACATCTTAGAGTTCTGTGCCATAACTATTAAAACACAAACGGATGATTACCTATTTATTATTGGTATATATCGAGGGACTATTTTCTTCGTATAAGCAAAGAGCGTGAAGCGGTATCATTATGAGGTCAAGGATTACGAATAAGCGCGCAAAGTTAATAGGCGCAGATAGATTACTGGGCACGGTTTATCACCCAAAGACCACAGAGTGCATGAATAGATTCATTTTGTTTGTCATTTGCAACGATTTAGTCAAGAGAGTCATCGGTGAACTTAATATCATGAATGTATTTCTATTTGGGGAATTAAATTAATGATCATAACAGCATGAAATACTCTGGCGAAACGATTGAAAACGGAGACATATACTGTGCACTTAAGACCATTGTAGGTTTTAGGGCACAACATACGTAGGTCATTACAATGATAAAAGTAGATGCATGCTGTTATTTTATAATGTGTGTAATATATCTCCAGTATTACCCATTGAGGCGTGCATAATAAATTATAATGCAACGAATTTTTTCTGTTTAATGCTGATTGGCTGATCTAAGGTTCCACTGCTTTCCCTGTGTGCGAAGAGTGCCATAGTAACGTGGCGCAAGATAACCATATTCCCAGATAGCATTCAGACGTTGGCCCAAAGTTGGCAATGTTGGCAAAACCATTGCCAACGTTGGGCCAACGTCTGAATGCTATCTGGGTTGTAAGCTGGTTCCTGATGTCGAGTTGAGACCTGACTGCCACCTTGCGAGACGGGGCCCAGCTTAAGCATATTGTGGCAAACTCACAACTGAAATGACGTCATCACTGCTGATGACGTCATGTACGTTTTGTCTTAAGCTATGGATGACGTCATCATGAATTTGTCGCGACAATGCCTTCCTATGTCTTGTTATAATGGACAAACAAAGTAAACAACGATTTGTCAACAGAGGACGCCGGCATATATAACCAGGCTTGGCGGAAACAGCCGAACGAATGATTGTGAAATGTATTAGATTAACCGAGCTGATGTCAGTCAGAAACCACATATTATATAAACGCAGACTGGGTAATACTAAATATAACATACTCGCAACACCGAGTTATGTACCAAAGATTCCTCGTGAATAACTGTTGGCAGTCCTCGGGCAAATCAAAACTCGTTAAAGACAGCCCCTTTCTCCTGGTGATTCGTAGACTATTCTCCAATAGGTACATATACAGGCCTACCATACAAACGGTGAACAGATCCTCAAAACTGAACTCAAATACACCAAAAACAGAAGAAAAAACCAAAATGGGAAAATAAACTCCCAAAACTGCAATAATTTCCTCTAAAAACGAAACAAGCGCATATGTAAAGGAAAACTAATCGTTTGAAATAGAAACAAAACTCACCCAAGAAAGACAAGCACTTGGGGAGGGTAGTTGTTTCCAGTTTATTAAGGTATCAAAACGCACACACAGACGCACAGCCACGCAAAAACACTCCTATTTGAAAAAAAAAGAGTCATCCACAAGCCCCCATAAATTTGAAAGAACAAATCATCTGGCGGTTACTTAAATTCCAACTTGATATTTTTGGGGCTAAGTCTAAATCATGAAAGATATAAATGCCAAAAATCTGCAAATAGCAAAAGGCACTACTTCAAGATCTGTTTGATATATCTGTGATGTCTTGTAGAAAGATTTTGAACGGTTTTCGAGTTGTGATCCGGAAACGAAGCCCACCCCTCCCTTTAGAGACTATTAGTCCAAAACGTTTCCATGGAAACCAAGAAAAATAAAAATGACATAAACCTGCAAATAGCCAAAGGCACCACTTTAGCTTCTGTTTTAAAATATATAATAATAATAATAATAATAATGTGTCCATTTATATAGCGCCAAACTCCACACTAGGTATGCTCATAGCGCTAACAATCAAAACACAGCACATTATTACCCCGGATAACCCAAGCTGCCTGTGAGGCGCTAGAAGGTTATAGTCATAGGACTTTTTCCACCGGGTACCCATTTTCCTGCTGGGTGAACAGAGACAATTTTGAACAAACTCACTTGCCTAAGGTGAGACCACATGTGTCACATGTGCTTCTTTGTGGGGCAGGACTCAAGTCCTAGAAACTGTCAGGAGTCAAGCTGCCAAACACGGTCACCCATCCAAGTACTCTCCGAGCTCGACGCTGCTTAACTTCACCGATTTGTGACCTGAGCTTTGAGCACAGGACCACCAAGTCTTGTAGAAAGATATTTAACGGTTTCTGAGTTGTGCTCCGGAAACGAAGGTCAACCCTCCCAAGTTTGATGCTAAGTTCAATCATTTCCATGGAAACCAGGAAAATTAAATATGACAAAAATCTGTAAATAGCAAAAGGCACCACTACATCTACCAATGTTTGTTGAACAATTTTGAACGGTTTTTGAGTCATGCTCCGGAAACAAAATGATTACGGACGGACGGACAGACGGACGAGGCGTTGACTATATCCACTGCATTACATGCCGGGGGTTTAAAAAAAAATCAAATTAACGAGTGAGTTGGGTGAGGGAGGAGAGTCAGAGGATATGTAGGTCTTAGACGTTTACCACTTTCGAGAAGCCACGAGGACGGGTGTGAAAACATAATCGGGGTGGATTGACAATCACGTGTTGCTGGCCTACCCAAGGGACGCAACTCCGCATGGCCAATTGCTTTACCTTTGATGGCTGAGTCGACCGCTCCTCTGAAATAAATGAAGTGTGTCTTGGAACATATCACCAAGTCGTAAAAGCTAGCACATCATCTTCTCATCATTGTCCAGCGGACTGCTCGGGTGCTGCCTTCCATTTTGTTTTCGTTAGGCAATCCCTTGAAAGTCTGTTTGTAAGTTTTCTTCTCTAACATTTCTATTCCATGCACTTACTTCCCCATTTATCTAGTAATCTGTGAATAACTATTTTGGTACTTATGCTATGTACCTTAAGTCAAAAGCACGACGTTAAACCCAATTTCACCTCACCTCACCTTAGGTCACGTACATTTCTGTTGTCCGAAATAAAGAATCTACAGGTCAAGTATATGTCGACCCTGAAGACATGTATTCTGTTTGTGTGTCCAGAAGCCATGTTTTCGGAATAGGCCCCATTTCTCCCCATCTCTATAGGTTCCACTACACAGAATCAGAATCACATGCTCTCTGAGCGAGCAACTGAAGAGACAGAGACATGTCACAGCTGTGATAGTGTAAGATGTTTATTTTTTAAAAGCACATCCATCCAGTAATTAAATCTGACCACAATTTTAAGTATTTAGTGCTGTCATTTTTATCACCATGACTTATGCTTATTGTGTACAGATATTTTCCAGTAGGTGACATTTGGTGCGGAACTGGAGTTGATGTGTTCCGCTGCCTGTGCTTGGAAATGTGCCGGACAATTTTGGGGAAATTGTGTTTTATTGTAGTTTATAGGCCAGACTGTATCCACGTGTACATGGAATGGCTGGTGAGAGCCTGGATAATATAAATAAAATATAAGGTTACTATAGAAGTAACTATAAAACATTTGGTGTTGTGTAACCTCTACGCACTGGTTCAACAAAGGAGATAAATCTATAGATATACGACTTTATTTTGAAACTAATGTGACGTTTCGGTGTAAATACTACCGCCGATATCAAGCAATTGATGTACACAAATGTGAAGCAAACACATTTTATATTTGGAATTACACTTTCCACAAAATGGAAGTCAGCCAACTAGTAGTCCAGACCACGGACTTTGTGTACCTCTGAAGTGTAAATTGGCACGGCTCCCACGGCGGAAAGCTGTGATTACAAAATACCATTTAGAAAGTGATCAAATGTAACACATGTTACATTTTGGGTTACACTTTCTATTGTTTTTGGTTGAATTCTGTCCGGGATTCGAACCCACACCCTCAGAGTCAGGCACCTAATCGCCAGCACACAAGGCCAGCCGTCTAACCCACTCAGCCACAAATTTCGAATCCCGGGTGGGACTCAACCCCAAAAAGTATAATCCAAAGTACTAGAAGCTGTACTGTACTGTGTAATCCCAGATATAACATGGCATTGTGTATTCAACGTGAAGGAAGAATAGCCACCGTAGTTCAACATACCATTCATTGTGAGTGAGTGAGTTAGTTAAAATTTAAAGTCACTTTGGCAATATTTCAGCCAAAAAACAGTATTACTAAAACAGTAAATACTTTATAATTTTATTTTATAAAATCTGTCGCCAAAGGACAGTAAAACAATTAGAATATCACAGTAAGAGATGTAAAACTAACATGTAACGTAAACTAATATACTATGTAGGACATTACAACATGAAAATGGGCTACAGATCGCCAGCAACTGAAGGTAGATCACGATACTAGGGACCATGGGGACTTACAGTACCTTTGCTACCTGCATGGACCCGAGCTGGATTTACACCATCCCTTCAGCCGTTGGCAATTGTAGGCAAATTTCGCCATGAATTAAAATTAGCCATTCATTGGGATAAACAGGTTGTATATTCAGAGTATTATCTCTCTTGATCAACTTCTCGATGCCCTACGAAGAAGTTAAACATGTACAGGTTATTCTTTCAACCGAGAATGTTTGTTTATTTGTTGTTTTAACACAATATTTCAGCTATTTACGGCGGTCTGTAAATAGTCGAGTCTGGACCAGACAACCCAGTGATCAACATCATGAGCATCGATCTCCGCAATTGGGATACAATAACATGACATTGTGTCAACCAAGTCAGCGACGCCTGACCACCTCCCGTTACTCGCCTCTTACGACAAGCATGGGATGCTGTAGATCAATTCTAACCGGATTCTCACGGGTATCAACAGAGAGTGGTCTGTAATTATCACAGCTGGTTGAATCAGCTGCCTAGGCTGATTGTGTTATCACAGTGTGTTG